ATTCTAGTAGACCTCAACAATGGAATTATGATCAGTGGAAATGGCCATGACATGGGACCTCATGGAGAGTGGGGCTCTGAAAGTGTGTGTGTGGCTGTGTGTGGCTGTGTGTGGCTCTTTGCAGCTGGTGTTGCTCTTCTCAGATTCTGCTGAGTTACACGTTACTGCCTCCTGGTGCTGCAGAGATTTCATGAAGTGAAGGAGGTTTTCCTTCTATAAAACAGCTGTGGGCAGCAGATACTGTGAGAGTCACAGACATGAGTACATAGGTAAAGGCAGACTGGTTCACAGACTCTCCTGTTTTGCCGATCCGGTGCTTGAACAAATAACTCTACACCCCTACACAAGTCAAGTCGAGTCTTTTATCAATGTTAGTCAAGCAAGTCTCAAGTCAAAAAATATGCGACTCAAGTCATGTGACTCGAGTCCCCCACCTCTGGTATATACTGTGGTTAGCATGTTGCTGTATTACTGTATCAAATATAATGCTAATATAATAAACAGATAAGTAGTATTTTGTTAACTCAAGGTTTATATTAAGTGAGTTTTTATTGTGTTAACTTGTGTATTTATGCTTTTTAGATTGACTTTCTCTCTTTCTCTGTCCGTCTGTTCTAGAAACTGAAAAGAAGAGAGAGACGTCACAGCTGTCAGCAATGTGACAAATCCTTTACAACATCTGGAACTTTAAATCGCCACCTGCATATTCACACTGGAGAAAAACCGTACAGCTGTGAAGAGTGTGGGGAAACTTTCACTAGATCAGATGCTCTCAAAAGACATCACCGTATTCATACAGGAGAAAAACCGTACTGCTGTGAAGAGTGTGGGACAACTTTCACTACATTAGGTGCTCTAGAATCACATCACCGTATTCACACAGGAGAAAAACCGTACAGCTGTGAAGAGTGTGGGAAAACTTTCACTAGATCAGATGCTCTCAAAAGACATCACCGTATTCATACAGGAGAAAAACCGTACTGGTGTGAAGAGTGTGGGAAAACTTTCACTACATCAGGTGATCTCAAAATACATCACCGTATTCATACAGGAGAAAAACCATACTGGTGTGAAGAGTGTGGGAAAACTTTCATTAAATCAGGTGATCTCAAAATACATCACCGTATTCATACAGGAGAAAAACCATACTGGTGTGAAGAGTGTGGGAAAACTTTCACTTCATCAGGTGCTCTCAAAAGACATCACAGTATTCATACAGGAGAAAAACCGTACTGGTGTGAAGAGTGTGGAAAAACGTTCACTTCATCAGGTGCTCTCAAAAGACATCACAGTATTCATACAGGAGAAAAACCGTACTGGTGTGAAGAGTGTGGAAAAACGTTCACTAGATCAGATACTCTCAAATCACATCTTCGTGTTCACACAGGATTAAAACCATAGTGGTGGGAGTGTGGGAAAACTATGAGAGCCAAGCTAGCTGTTTCCTTCTCCTGATGTCCTGAGAGCTGTAGTTATATAGTCTCATTGAAATAAAGCTTATTTCATTCAAATGTGTCTTTTCTTCAGTGAGATATCTTTATGGATTTCCTTATGACTTGAGAGTCTGATTTTAAAATTCTGAGTCTGACTCAAGCAACTTAAAATGTTTGCTTTTGGGCAAAGTCATCTGAACATTGTGTACTGTGCAAGTAATCTGACACTTTACCTTTGTCCTTATATTTAGATAAACAAATGAATCCCTATTATTGCATTTAATAATTCATATTTCACGACTCACTGTTATTGTAGCACTGACCACGTTATTGTATAAAGTGCATTCAATTGAAAACACCATAGTGTTACAGTCAAATTATGTACAATTGTAAACACAATATGTACATAAAAGTATTCACATTTAATAAATAGATAATTGACGCCTACAATATCAAAGAAATTAGAATGTAACAATTGCACTGATGGCTCTGTTTTTTGTCACCAATATTATATTTTAGTTTGCACTGCCTCCACGGCTATGGTTATGGCATGATAAGAACTGCTCTGTATTCCTAAAGTTTGACCTTTCTCGCAAAATATTTAATTGATTCAGTATAAATGATGGCAACAGCATAAACTAAGGCAAACACAGGTAAAAAAGCTTGAGTGGATACAAATCAGATGCATGAAACACATTCACTTTTGTAGACCCCAGGATTTATTTGTCATCAGCAGGTATGAATCAATTGTTAGGGTATCAATGACTTCTTGTAAACTAACATTTGTTGTTATGCAAGTCAACAACAACAACAACGAGATCTCACTCCACTGCAGAAGAAGAACAGGAATGATCCAGCTATTGAACCCAGTTGGATTCTTTAGGACTTTTTCTGAGCAACCATTCACCTTCATTGATTCAGTATAAAGGATGGCAACAACATAAACACAGGTAAAAAAGCTCAAGTGGATACAAATCAGATGTACAGGGAGGCTGTGGCGCAGTGCGTTGGTGTTGGGATCAGGGGAGCACAGGTTCAAACCCCACTGCAGTCAGCATGTCGTTGTGTCCCTGGGCAAGACACCTCACCCCAAATTGAGTATGTAAGTCGCTTTGGATAAAACCGTCTAACAAGTAACAAGTTCTCTGGTTCTGCAGTGGTTCCCTCCTGTCCTGAGTCACTACCCAGTCCCTTGTTTCTCTGTTTGACTGGTTTATATCCAGCTTCAGGATGCACCATGTTAGGATCCTTCATTACATTCAAATATATATAGTAGTTATTACAAAAACACATTGTTTCAAGAGAGTGTGTAACGTTTTCTATCACCAGTGAATTATCTGATCCAAAAGCAAAGCGTTTTTCAATGACGTTCACTTTGCCCTTTTCTATAGTGACAAGAGGCAGTTTACCATTATGCTGGTTAAACCAACTCCATTTTACATCTCCTTTCTTATGAGGACAGGGCAGTGTAGCATTCGTGCCCGGCAGCGCTGTTATTTGTTCAGGATCAGCTGAAAAGCAGAAAGTAGTTACACATTTATTGACCCAACAGCCTTGACAAGCTGGACAATTGATTTTCTCATGGTTTTCATTTATAGTTTTTCTATATTTAGAAAAAAAAACAGGCAAACCTAAGAAACAAGTTACATATTTGTCCGGGCTAGATTTTACCGAAAGAGCCTGTTAACTCAAATGTTTTTATTATTTTTATTTTTCATATTATGCTAATTTTCAGGTTCACATTTGTATTTTGTACGTCTACTGTAATGTGATGCTTTAATGTTCAAAAAGCTCTTTCCCAGAGAAAGTGCCTCTGGAGGGGAACACAGGGATTTCAGCCTCTGCAGACCATTTACATGCACAAAAACCTGTATAACACACTACAGGAAAGGGAGAACCCAACAAATCAGAATAGAGCCCCTTTAAGCTATACTAAACAAAAGATTGTAAACTAAAACACTTTTTCAACATATAAAACACAGTAAAACTTGACATGTCTTTTGACTTGATTTAGATTATTAATGCCAATGTCAAATCATCCAGATTTATGAATATTTTAATAGAAACCTCTTAAAAATAGATCTTCTTGTATAGCTGATAGAGAAGCATGCAGCGAGCAGCAGGAAGTAGAGACAAAGCAGCATCTCTGCAGCTGGTGAACTCTGCTGACTTATTATTTTTAATCTAAGAGGAAGTTATGAGTAATATGGCTGGGGGTCGAAAAGATCTTGAGTGATTGGCTGTTTTCTACCGTGGGGAGTTTCTCTGCACAGTACAGGGAAAGGTTGAACTAATCAGATCTTAAAGATCCCATGTCATGGCCATTTCTACTGATCACATTTCATTGTTGAGGTCTACTAGAATAGATTTACATTGTTCAATGTTCCAAACTCACATTGGTTTCTCATACAGCATCTCTGTATAGTATGTGTATTCACTCTGTCCTAAACGGCTTGTTGGAGCTCCTGCCCCACCCCCCCTCCCTGTGAGCCCAGTGTGCTCTGATTGGTCGGCTCGTTGCGAGGCTCGTTGCTGCTCGCCGCTGCTGCGAGGAGCGGACAGGTTTCCGGGTCGGCGATACAGTGAGACACAGCGAAACTCATCCTGAGCACACACAAACACTCACAGCCGAAGTAAAAACAATAAGTGTTGCTTGATATTGAGTAAGAAAAAGGTTTTTAACGCTGTCGGAATGGGTCTGCGGAGAGCATTTCTCCGCGATCCCAACTCGTCTCTTACCAGCGTTCAGGTAGCTCTATGCAAGTCAATGGGACTCCCTGTTAGCCAAGGGATCCTGGTGTGTGAGGTGCTCCGCGGATTAGTCCATTTTGGCCAATCCGGTCATTTGTTGATGATTTGGGTGTTCACACGTCAGAGAACCCAGGAAGAAAACATTGGAAAATGAGAAATGTCCAACGAGGCGTTCTGAGGCAGCAGACAGGTCTGCGTTAGAATTGTACTCGCTAAAGGGTGTACTTTGAGGGTTTGTGACTTTGCAGACCGTTCACATGCATAAAAACCTTCATAACACAAAAGGGGATGGGTAATAACCAGAAAAGCATGACATGGGCCCTTTAAAACAACATTTTTTTCTGTCACTGTGAGACAGGACATCTGCTGCTGAAATATTTAATAAAGTGATTTGCACTATTTCTCTTTCACTCAATTTGACTGAAATTAGATCTGTTAGTCTAACCATTGAATATTATTATACTGTATACATGTTTTTTCAGTACAGCTTAACCATGTAGCACATTCCTTAGATACTCTATTGATACACTGTATCCTATTTTATTTCTACGGGTATACATACTGTATATTTCAACCATATTCGATGTAAATATTGCTATATTTTGTACTTTATTTATTTATTTACGTGTTTAGACTTTTATTTTATGTATGCACCAAAAACACAAAGATAAAAAGAACATTTGGTATCTTATTTGTATTCTTATCCTTGCGTGAACTCCCATCTGCTCTACCTTCCCCCACTCTTATTGATTGATTGATAAAGGTCTGATCTCATTACATCAGCTGGTATTTAAAACATCAACACGTCACTGCTTCTGGTTTTCTCAAAGTACATTTTCCTGCGAGAGGAAATGCTGTTCTTTATTCCAGACAATAGTACTACAACACATCGCCTACCCTAGTTGATTAAATAAAATATATTATTTACACTCTGCAGTTGTTAATTAGCTCAGATGCTTCTAGGACTTGGTGGTGTTGGGCGGCTGGCCGATCTGCCACAGATCCGCAAACGACACGTTGGCCGAGCCTCGCTTCGCTGGTTTGGCCTGAAAAAGAGAAACAAACAAAATGTAAACAATTAAATCACTTTTCTTGACAACATATCTCCTCTGCTCATGCATCTGATGGATAAGACACAGCAGCGATTGTTTCTGTTAAAGGTGCGTACCTTTTCGGGTTATTTGGAATACACAGTATATATATAACATATATATATATGAGTCAATACAAAAATTAAGGAATATCATAATCATGCATACACGGTTTGATAAAGACAGTTGAACTCTGGGAATTGTAGTACAAAAACACCACAACAGTCAAATTAGGGATAAAGTGATCACATGTTTCTGTCTGATAGCGATACTCTATGCCAGGGGTGTCAAACTCAAACACACAGTGGGCCAAATAAAAAAATCGGTACAAGTCGAGGGCCGGACTGGTTCAATGTTTATTGCAGAACGTATTGAAATGAACTTATTGCACATATTAAACCTGGAACTAACAAAGCTTAAATTATTGCCTATAAAAACAACATTAAACATTAAATAATCAGTTGCATTCATTTCTTATGGCTCTATCTGCAGCTTTTCCAGAGTCATTTCTTATGATTACATTTTTCCACAGGCCAACAACAGCTTCAAAAAACTATTTCCCTCAAAGAGAAAAACAAACATGCCCTGTTGTCATGAGAGAAAAAGTGCAGAAGGAAACATTGAAACTCAGTGTGCTGCTCGGTGATGCTAGTTCAAGCCAGATACTTGGCATCTCATGTTGGGTGCAGGTTCATCAATGTTTGGGGTCAGGCTCTGAGCTGAGGAAACCCTCAGGATGGAGTGAAGGTGGTGCGTGCAATATACCGGCGGCCCAGATCTAATAGTAATTAGAAATTATCCTGCGGGCCAAAATTAAATCCACCAAGTGCCTGATTTGGCCCCCGGGCCTTGAGTTTGACACATGTGCTCTAGGCTGATACTGATTCATTCTCCTTAACAAATAAGCTCTTAAATGGATGGATGCAATCTGTGTAACCTATATCTAAAAAAAAACATCATGCACCAACTGTGGAATACATCACCTTCTCCTCTTTAGGAAGAAATGGACACTCCACTACATGACTAAGGTTTGTTACTGGAGACGTTTTGGAAAAGAGATGCCACACTGAGCCAATTTCCTCTTTCTGTGTAATGTGGGGTTCTCAATGGCTGTGACTCAACAGGAGACTCACAGCAGCTCCATTTACAGCATTAACGTACATTTCCAGTACTGTATGTTGCATGTTCTTTATTTGATTGTATTTACTTGTTTAAAATGAAATGTTTCTTTAGGGTGACAAACTAAATCTGTCCAGGGACTACGGATGAAAATGTGCCTCTTGGTGCATTTACAGAAATGTTGATGAATGTGCACTGTGCCTGTTGAATAAATGAATAAATAAACGTGAACATAGATTATAACCAATTATTTCACACCAGAGTCACCAAATGAAAGGTCTCTATTTCTCACAAGCTAACTAAACAAACTAAAATGGCATTTTTCGGACAGACAAGTTAGAAAACATTGTACTTTGTTAAAGTTAAAGACAGATATGCCGGATCTTTCTGTATCAGCAACACACTCTTGCAAGATCTACGATTTTTGTAACGCTTCTGTGTGGACGGGCCGAGACGTAGTGTGGAGTTGCATTAGGTAACGCGAGATACGGCTGATACTTGCGCATTCGTTTCTGTTATGGATCAGTATCAACAGTCCTGCCAGTAACGTTACTATATTATCAATACTACTTTAGTTATAGCCTGATATATGATAGCTAACTTTACAATGTTGTGATGTGACCGACGTTAGCTAACAGCTGTCTGTAGCTAACGCCGGTCACTCACCAAGAAGACAGCTGCTCTGTTCTCCACTGGTTCTCCACACACCAAAGCTCCATTTCTCGTCGATGGCCGTTATTTCTTCTAATCCTTGGCTGCTCCTGGTCTCGGACGCCTAGCAGGCTCATAATTATAATCATATGCATTCGAATATATATTTTCAACCTCTTCTGTGTCAAACTAGAATTGTGATCCATGTTTATTCATACCTTAGACCGGCCGCTCTCCCCCATGTTACGTCACACGCGGGAGGTCACGTGGGGAGGTTTTTTGTATGCGGAAGTATAGAGAGGTGAAGTCCCTCCCCTTCCGAAAGCCTCCATGGGACCCCGGAAGCGGAAAATTATACATTGAAGTCAATGAAGAGAGAAAGGTTATCTTTTGATCCCGTTTGAATTGTGCCACGAATGACACATATGATGTTTGTCAATTTAAAAGAACATTTTGCGAGTCAAACAAATAAAAATGTGTCGTAAAACTGTGAAGTTACACATTTGTTCGTGTGAAACCGCTCAGTGAACTACAGGGGCCCAGTCCAATAGTCCATTTAGCTTAGGAACCTTCCTAACCAAGTGAAATGACCCGGAAGTACGTCACTGGCAGCCATGATAAGTGTCGTTCCAATTCTCCAAATGAAAGGAAAGGAGGGTTCAAACTTCCTTTTTAACCTCCTTTAGCTTAGGAACCACTGGACCCTCCCTTACCGAAAGGAGAGGAGAAAATGCTGCCCCACAATGCATTGCAGCCGCAGCATTTGCCGTCACTCAACAGTCGGCCGTTCACGGACACAAATGATAATGGGAGAAATGATATCATGAAAGTTACGGTGCTTATTACGCATTTTAAAACGTATGTGGTAAGTTGCCAAAGTGCTTTGTTTTGAACGTTCATCAGTATTATAATCAAAGAGAGAAATATGAACGTTAGTTTTTACTGAAATGATCAAATAAAATCAACATTTCACTGAGCTGTGTGGGGTTTGTTCAACTTTTAAAAGATGTTTGAATGGTGATATACACAGTGATAGATGTTAAGGACTAACGTTTATAATAAATACATTTGTATTTATTTTAAGATATTTTAATAGTTCATACAATCATACGTATTGGGATCATTTGTATTAATGTGGACCGGAGGGAGAGGGTGACGAGCAGAAGTTTCACTTTCCTTTTTTATTTCAATTCCAACTTTGGTCCTGAAGAATATGTTTCTCTCTTGTCCACGTTCATAAAGCATAAAGCAACAGCATCAGAGCACGGTGCAGAGTCTCTAGATGAGTTTACAGTAGTCCCTCGTTCTTATTAAACATCCATGTTGTAGTCCTCTGTATAGAAAACTGTAGTTTCCATAGTTTCCCCACAGCAGCAGACGCACATTCAGGACGTCCGCTGGCGCATCATAAACACGTCGGATAGTGAAAGTGCATTCGGATTCTCTAAAGCAGTGGTTCTCAAAGTGGGGTCCGCGACCCCCCGGGGGTCCGTGGCACTCTGCCAGGAGGTCCGTGAAAAGTTTTCAGATTCATTAGTTTTTTTTGTTTTTTTTTTTGTGACGCAACACTTTTTGGAGAGAGAGGATGTTGGCGTTGTCTGTTCGCCGCTTCTCTGTCCGAAAATGTATCTGCCGAATTTTGGACCAACGTTTCTACCTCAGTTTCCATACGTTCAGTGGCTTGCACACGCTGTTCTGGACACTTTTGTAACAACCGATCGCAACTTTTTACGGATGCTCCGCTTCCGACCTGTCCACCCCGCTACACCTGCTAATGTTGCTCCTGCTTCAGGGCTAACGCTATCGCTAACGTTAGTGCAGTGGTTCTCAAACTTTTTCGGTCAGGCCCCCCCTTTGGAGAAAAAAAAAAGTCGGGCCCCCCCAACACAAATAGTCAGGCTCAGTGGCGGCGCCAGAGATTTCTTTTTGGGGTGCTGTGGGGTAGCTTGACCTTTCATGGAGCGTGCTCAAACATTTAGGGTTTCCCATTAATGTACCGGTCGTTACAGTGGAATTTTCTACTGCAACACTCTCCACGCACATACACTATGTACCCGCGACTGTTACAATGAAGGCTCGATATCAAGTCTCGGCATATAGGTGTAAGCAGGGGTAAAGTGCTATTTTTATAGGTGGTGTGTGGACCTCACATAGGGGGGTCCGGGGGCATGCTCCCCCGGGAAGATTTTTAAATATTGAAGTTGAAAGCATCAATCTGGTGCACTTTGAGAGCAAAATGAAGAGATCTATGGATACATCTCTCAACACCCAGATGAAACAGAATTGTAAACAGATTTACTATTTCTTTATGGATATTTTATAAATCACTCTTTTAAACTTTATTCTTGTTTTACTGTCATATATTATTTCATAGCTGTTTTTCATGTATTCTCTTATTTTTTTATAACTATAATGATCATATAAACGTGTGCCTCGGAAATAATTGTTTACATTAATGGTGACCAAAACGTTTGAGACCCACTGAGATAACACTGAGAGAGTCCTTTAGCTCACTGAGTCTCTCAGTCTGACAGGAGAGGACTCTCCTCCACTTTGTTGTTAAAAAAACTCCTTATATCCGTTAGCGTAGCTCGCTAGCACCAGAAGCTAACATCAACGATCTCCGGTACCGGTGCGCTATCTCTCTCTCTCACGCACGCACACAAAATGGCTCGTTCCACACACACACACACACACACACACACACACACACACACACACACACACACACACACACACACACACACACACACACACACACACACACACACACACACACACACACACACACACACACACACACACACACACACACACACACACACAGACAGAGCCGAGCTTTAATGAAACACAGAGACCCAGACGTAATAGTACTGTATCATATTATTTTCGAATCAATAATTTTTCAAAATATGAATATTTTATAATCTTTTTTTTTTTTTTAATAACCATTTTTCCTCCTGGTCTCTCGCGCCCTCCCTGTCATGCCTCTGCGCCCCCCTGGGGGGGGGGGGGCGTGCCCCCCACTTTGAGAACCACTGCGTTAGTGGCTCCATCTGACGACAAGCCCGATTCTCCGTCTCATTTTCCCGTTTTGAGTCCCGATCCTGCTTCACTGTATCACCTGCTTAGCTGCTGTTTGATTTTGTTCTGCCACAAAAGACACAACAACGGTCCTCTCCACCCAGCCAGTCTGACGGCGATCAGAAGCTAGCCTAGTTCTACCTGCTCAGGCTAGCCTGCTCATGGCCACTACCGGTGCTCCTCTGCGGCAAACGTCTTCAACTTCCACCATCTCTCCTCAGTGCTGTCCGTCCTTGAGTCACTTCCTGGACAGGCTGCCTGCTGCCCTGGTTCATCTGTACTCTTGGCTGATAGCGCATTCTCCCGGCCGATCCGCGACCACAGCTAACGCTGTGCTAACGTTAGCATCATACCATCGTGATGCTTCGTTACTCCGCATCGCAAATTTTTAGGATCAACCACTTCACTACACCCCTCTATGTCTGTCAGTCATTGAATACCTCGGGCTGTTACGAGTTGGCAGACCCAGGTATGTCCACAGAGGTTCCAAACGTGGGTTTGTTTACACCGGCTCAGCTGACACTATCCCAACTGTGTGGTCCCGGCGCCCCGTCACCGCCCACTTACGTCATCACAACAAACCACACGTGTGCAGTGTTAACCTGAAGCCCTTGGCCTGTGTTGATGGTATCACTGTTTTACCAGCCATTGCAACATATAACAACTCTCACACATTCATGTTGTTAAATACCCGTTCCCTTAACAACAAAGCATCACTTATTAATGAAATCATCATTGATAGGAAATTGGATTTTCTCTGCCTCACTGAGACATGGCAAAACCAACAGGACTTCCTCACACTCAACCTAGCCACCCCCCCAGGTTATGCTTATCTCCAACAGCCCCGCTCCATTGGTCTTGGTGGTGGGCTGGCAGTCATCCACAGAGCAGATATCCCTGTCAAACAGCTGCTTGTGAGAATAAAATGTCACTTGAGTGCATTGCCTTCTCAGTGGCTGCCCCCTCAAAGCAGCAGGTCGTCCTCATTTACCTTCCCCCAAACCTTCCACGTCATTCATGTCTGAGTTGTCTGAGCTTCTCACCTCAATCTGCTCCATGTCCCCATCCACACTACTGCTAGGTGATTTTAACATCCACGTGGACTCCAGAACCTGCACCTTTGCCGCTGAGTTTCTGTCACTATTGGAGTGCTTTAACATCACGCAGCATGTCCAAGGTCCCACCCACACTAAGGGCCACACCTTGCGTGTCTTCACTTGCAGAGAGAAGCAATCAGCTTCATGGACTGCCTTGCATCACTCCAATAGTGTCCAGAGCTGGCTGCCATTACAAGTAGTGGTTTGGGATTGTAGCAATGCAGTTGCAGTTGTTTTGCAATTTACTTGATATATGTTGCAATGCAGGCATGTGTTCAATTGTTTATAGCCTGCATTTATTTTGTGATTTGACTTTTATAAATCATTTAACTAAGAGTGAAACACTTGATGTGTTATCTTTATGTGTGTGTGTGTGTGTGTGTGTGTGTGTGTGTGTGTGTGTGTGTGTGTGTGTGTGTGTTGTTGGAGATTTGGAGGGATAACTGGTCCGCTTTTCAAATCTCCGCGCGTTCCTATGAAGCTGGTTATAATACAGGAAGGAATCCATATCTACAAAGTATCTACTTTAATGGCAATATGACAATGCAATATAATCATTACAATACAACATGATATATTACAGTTATATTGTAATGCTTAAGGAGTAATGCCGGCTTACTCCTGCCCTGGTTCGCATACTGCAGAGCTACTTTCACCCGAGGGCAGCATGTGAAGAAGAGGCCGAACGCCAGGGATCCTCCGGATATATACCAGAGTAAGAAGGAGGGGTTTGGTGTTAGGTCAGCTGGTCATCTTTTCAGGTCATCTCATTGGGAGACGCAACGCAGCAGGAAACGCAGCAGGAAACCAAACAGGCTCACTTTCCAACAAAAGGTCTCAAGGCCTGCATACCTACACCTCCCCCACAGAGCAATAAAACCCTGTTTACTCCAACCAGCCCAGAATGTTTATAGCCATTTGTAGTCCTTACATTTATGAAAGGATAAAACAGAGAAATCAATACAAAACACAAACACAGGTATTGTTTGAACAGTATTCACTTAACTGCTACTGTTGATAACCACCAGAGAAACCCAAGGGACCTCTCTTAATATCACAAACCACTGTAGCTAGATCTAAGTTGAATGCAAATCAGGACATGCTCTCACCTTCCCCCATCTTCCTTTGTCCTCAAAAACACATGTCAACAGGCCCCATATCCAGCTCACAGTTTTACCCAAATTATTCCCATTTTAAGCTTATCCAGTTTGCTAACATGAATAAATACAAATATAACTCTACAAATCCCCCTTTTTATCTCCTTCTCCAGAGATAAACTTAGACAAGGCATTTTGAAATATACCCACTGTCATTCTTTTCTACTGTGTCCGTAAATCCATCCGAAGCTGGTATTTAGAGTACTTGAAACCTTCATGGAGACAGAACACCACTTTCCATGGCAGTGAAGGAACCATGAGGGGGTAGCTGAGTGCTAGAATCATCAGCCCCCCCCCCCCCCTCGGAGGAATAGCCCACAAGGACAGCTAATAGGGAGGGGGAGATGCAGCTTTCCCTTCACGGGTAGAACTGATCAGAGCGAAGTAGACTCCTCTGCTGCCTCGAAAAGTCCCCTGTGCCGTCCTGGCTTGTCGTGTCTTTGTCCCCCAATCCGCTGACAGCAGCTTCTGGGCTGCCTGCTAGAGAGATGTCTTCCTCCTCCTCGTCCTCCGGCCCACTGATGGCGGCTTCCGGGTCGATGCTGTAGAGATGTCTCCAGGGTCCTCCTTCTCCGGCCCGCTGATGATGCCTCCCGGGTCGTCTGCTGTAAGGATGTCTCCAGGGTCCTGCTCCTCCAGTCTGCTGCTTCCGAGTAGTCCACGTCTGCCAGGGCCACGTCCGTCCTGATGTCGTCCCCTGGTCCTAGTAGGTGGTTTCCCCGCCGCACACTGGCTCCCGTGGTACGAGCTGTCCCCCTTTTCTCCCAGGCAGACGGCATAAGAGGTCCGCTGGGTCACTCGGTCGGGGTCGGAGAGCCTGGGGTTGAGCCACTTTGTCCTGATGACTTTCAGCCAGACGAACTCTGCTGTCGGCCTCGTGCTTCTCGGGTCCCCCTTTTGGCGCCAGCGACCTGTGTGGAGAAATCTGATACAACTCCCTCAAGCCTACGCTCAGCTGTTTTTGACCCACTTGGAGCCTGTTGGTGGGGTGTCTTGAAACAACAGCCGTCTGTGAACAGGTTTTCCAAATTAATTGTAGACCTCCTATCTGCCAGTGCAGCTTCAGAATCTTAATACTTGGATTGTGCCAACCAAATAAGAACCTCAACATCTTTAGGTAAACTAAATAACATATTTCAATAGCTCTGAATTTCTGACAAGCATCCGTGTTTATTTTTAAATGAAATCCTATTTAAAATCCAAATATAATATGAACTGCTAATGTTTCTGGCAAAGAAACACACTAATGTTATGGATTCAAAAACAACCAAAATCACGATGCTAACAAAGTGAATGATTTCCTGGTGATTCTGCTTCTACCTGTCAGTGCTTAGATATTATCAAGCTGAAAAAATGAATACAGAATTCCAACAAACTGTCATCAAATGTCTTTCTATTATAAATTTAGATGAAATGTATATCCCCATAATGACCTAAACAATAAAGTCTATGGCTTTTACTTCTTTACCAGACTAGTTACATGATGTTGTCTAAATTAAATTCTGTCTCAATACACTACTATGTTTTAGCTTTAACTGTAATATGTTCTTTCTACATTTCAAACCTCAGTTACTCTAATGTCTGTTAAAACACTACAAAATTGCTTCACTATCACAGGTCAACCTCTTCGGCCCCACAGCAGCCCCTTGGCCACTGCTTCCTTGTTACCTGCCATAATTCAAATCAATATTTAGAAACATCTCAACATTCACCAAACAGTATCTTATCCCCAGATATGGAGCAAGTTAATTACATTCAATGCTCAATCCTTAAAAGAAAAATTTAAATTGTGAATTTTACAGCCATGTTGACATTTATACCTTATACTCACTCCCCCTTTTTACACATGAAATAATGTGTAACAAAACCCTGTAATGGGAGGGGAACAAAAACTGTCAGGTAATTGGTTAGGGACATAACGAACATTATTTTCAATTTGACATCATTATCATTATTTCCACAGTGAACACTTCAGTGAAAATAAGTGTTCCTCTCCGTCCTTCAGGCCTAAAAGAAACAGAATCTTCAGATTTTAGTTTTAAATTTGCAAACCGCCAACTCATGTGAGAGTAAAATATCACATGTGCGGTTTCCCCTTTTTGTGGAATTTTTAGGAAACCTCTCGTTTCCCTTGGAGCTCCAAAATAATATGTTAGTCCAAAAACATGCTTGGTTAGTTATTGTTTTAGAATCATGCAGTTACACTGATCACATGCCGGCATTCATTCACACTCACACTGTCTGGTTGTCATGTCAAGTTTGGTCAGGTCCACCCCAGAGTCAGTCATCCACAGTGCCTTGTCAAGTGACACTGTCGGTCAGGGTCAAAGGTCAGTTGGTCTCCATCTTTTTTGGCCATGTGTCGTGCTCTGCAGAGACTTTGACATTTCAGCATAGGCCAGTATCCTTTGTCTACAAAAATATGTCACGATTTCAACTATGATTTTCAAGATGATTCTCACTTTTCATTGGGACTTCTGCCTCCCACCTTTCCTGAAACTTGGTACAAAACTCACTTCCTTCGAGTACCACTACTACTGCAATCCAATTACACCTAATTAGTATTAAAATGTCTAATGATCTATTTCAGAAACTTGTGTACATAACTATTATCTTGAGTCAAAACATTACTAGGATCTGTGTCGCTCTGCATTTCATAGCTCATTATAATTCTGGTCTACTTAAAAAACAATGATAAACTCTTTAGCAGTGTGTGGAACCTTGGGTGTCCGAACATGCAACAATTACTCCCTCCTTTATCAAGGATTTAAAACCGAAGTCTGGTAATAACTATGCCACAATGGTGAAATCAACACTTTAGATTGGAATTTAATATGTGGCTTGGCACTAGCCATTAATACAAACAAAGATTTGTCCTATAGAGTGGTTCCTAAAACTATCCTTTTAATGGTGATCAATATTGTAACCAATGAGATCACTACTTTATTCACACGTGAATAAAAATGTCTTAAAGAATGAATTGTTAACATGGTGAAAATATTGAAGAATATGGTTCTACTCTGTCAGTGTGTTTTAGGATGATTATCATTTTACTTTAATAGTTTCCTCTTTACTGCTATTTTTAATTTACCAAATGATTAATAAATCCTTCTGTCTTTACGTATTTATGAAGTTAATTCAAGTTATTTAAATGTGCGTTTCGTGAATAAGTGTGTTTATGTGTAACTCACTCATTCCCGTTCTCCTTTCCTCCTCCCCTGATTTTCTCAAGCCGTGACCCCGGCCTCCTCACTTCTAATCGACCATGCCAACTCCTCTGATTCTGTCTTCTCTTCAGTCCATCAGCTGTTGAATCCATCCGCTGTAACTTTTGTAGGCCACCATTGGCCCAGTTACATCTGCAGCCCCATCATGCCACTGTTGTTGCACTCCTCCTTTACAGTCTCTCTGCTGTTTTTATGGAGGGCGGATTCTGCTCTCATGTCTATTGTGCCAAATCTCGCGGCGCAGTTTGGAACTTCATGTCCTGTTTGAGGGACCGATGAGAGTTTGCCTCTTTGTCAGCATGCTGGTTTGGTTCTGGATGCCACAGGTGGAGATAGTTCTGGCTGCAGTCTTGATGTAGTCTTGTTGTTGTTGTTGGTTCAGCTCTGGTTCTCTGTCTGTACGATGGAGAAGGAGGAGTCTCCTGTTGGGTTAGGTCTTTTTGTCTGCTTGGAGGGTCGGGATCAAAGCCTTTCTAACTCAGAGGGTGAGTCCAGGTCCCGGTACACATTACCTATAAGAAGTCTAGCCCACTGATGTTAAATAAATCCAACCCTTTCCACTCTGTCTCTTTCTAATCATACTATCTGTCTTAGTTGTTAAATGCCATGTAAACAACATAATTAATGTCTACTTATGATATTACAAAAACTCACTCCAAAAATTGTTTCATCCATTGTTACATATTTACCCAACACAACTCTGAAATACTTACATGTTTCCAGCATCACATATTCCACACACTATGAAAGAACATTCTCCATATCTTCTCTTATTTTAAATCCCACTGTTACTTCGAACAATAGTAAACCTGCAGGGCACACCAATCGGATCACAGTAATGAAATTTGAATCAAGTGTAGGCCTATGTCTTCTTTCTGAACATTTATTTATATTGTCTAAATTTGCAAACAGTTCGAGTGTAAAATGTGTTTTGCACAATGTATTTACACTCTACAGATTCTTGAGTTTACTCATCTCCTGGTGCTGTCGTTGTAAAAAATGTTCAATCCCTTATTGTTTT